CACAAGACTGTTGTGATGATCAAATGAGAAATGTATGGGAAGTGTTCTGAAAAATTGTTGCATCAAAAAAGAGTTTGGAGAGATAAAAAATGGCGGCAGAGGAAGAGGATGCTGCACGGACATGCTCCCAGGATCAAGGTGGAATTACAACTGAAATAATGAAAGGCTTCCTGAATAACCAATGGAAAACTCACAGGAGAGAACCCTGATACCCAAGGACCGAAGATGGAGACCGCACAGAGACTGGTAGGAGGAATGGAGGTGTGAAAGGGCTGGCTGGGCACCCACAGACAACAACTGAAGTCCCGGAGAGATTTCTTAGCTGTGGGGGGAAAAGGGGTGCCACTGAGAACTTTGGGATCTAATCCCAAAGCTAGGCTCCCCAGCAGAGAGCACCAAACTGAGGAAGGTACCCACATAACATCTAGCTGTGAAAAGCAGTGGGGTACTATCTGCCAGGGAGTGGCAGCTTAAAGTTCAGGCACCCTCTTAAAGGGCCAGCGCACAAAAACTTCCTGTGGAGCCACCCACCTTGTGCTCTGGCAGAGGGAGGGTGAAGTGGACTGGAGCTGTGAGAGCAGAACCCAGGACTGGGGACTCAGGGGATAGAGCTCAGAAGGCAGACACCCCAAGTTTCCTGGACTGAGTCATTCCCTCACACAGTGGAGGACATCTTTCCAACATAGACATCTGCCTTGCCTGGGGGAAAGACAGTCGACACACCCTATTGGAAAACACCTTGCCCTGAGGCCACTTAAGAGATTAAAAGTAGCCCTAACCAGCTTGGCTCAGTGGATAGAGCATCAGCCTGCAGACTGAAGGGTCCCAGGTTCAATTCTGGCCATGGACACATGCCTGGGTTGCAGGCTCCATCCCCAGTGCAGGAGGCAGCCAATCAATGATTCTCTCTCATCATTGATGTTTCTATCTCTCTCTCCTTCTCCCCTCCTCTCTGAAATCAATAAAGAAATATATTTTAAAAAAAGAGAAAGATTAAAAGTAACAATTAGCCTCCAGGCAGAAGCAACTGTCCCACCCTGTTGAAAAAACTCTCACCACACCTGAGGATGATTACCTGGGGGCAATTCAAGTCTGAATCCTATTAGTATGTAGACCAGTGGTTCTCAACCTTCCTAATGCCTCGACCCTTTAATACAGTTCCTCATGTTGTGGTGACCCCCAACCATAAAATTATTTTCATTGCTACTTGATAACTGTAATTTTGCTACTGTTATGAATTGTAATGTAAATATCTGATATGCAGGATGTATTTTCATTGTTACAAATTGAATATAATTAAAGCATAGTGATTAATCACAAAAACAATATGTAATTATATATGTGTTTTCTGATGGTCTTAGGCGACCCCTTTGAAAGGGTCGTTCGACCCCAAAGAGATTGCGACCCACAGGTTGAGAACCGCTGATGTAGATGGAGGCGGTATGGAGGCTTTGAGTCTTTGCCTGATCCAATGAGTCAGAAACAGCCTTTAATACTGTCCTGCACTAGAGGTTGAGAGGTATAGAGCAGTGGTCGGCAAACTGTGGCTCACGAGCCACATGCAGCTCTTTGGCCCCTTGAGTGTGGCTCTTCCACAAAATACCGACTTCTGCGCATGGGCCACGAAGTTTCAATCGCATTGTACATGCACGCCCACACGTGGTATTTTGTGGAAGAGCCACACTCAAGGGGCCGAAGAGCCGCATGTGGCTCGCGAGCCACAGTTTGCTGACCACTGGTATAGAGGATCTACCTAATACACAGTCACAAACCCAAACAGACAACCAAAATGAGGAAACAAAGAAACAACCCACAAATGAAAGAACTAGCGAATTCTCCAGAAAAAGAGATAAATGAAGCAGAGATAAGAAATTTATCTGAAACAGAGTTCACAGTAATGATGTTAAAAATTCTCAACAGTATGAAAAAAGATATAGTAACTATGAAAAAAGAACAGTCTGAGATAAAGAATGACATAACACAAATAAAGAACACATTGGAAGGAATACACTGCAGATTAGGGGACAATGAGGATCGAATCAGTGAATTAGAAGACGGAGTTGAAAATATCACTCAATCAGAGAACCAAAAAGAAAAAACAATAAAAAAACAGGAGGACAGCTTAAGGGAGCTGTGGGACAATGTGAAACATAACAATATTAGAATAGTAGATGTGCCAGAAGAGGCAGAAAGGGAGAAATGAATAGAGAAGGTGTTTGAAGAAATAATGGTAGAAAACTCCCCAAACCTGGTAAAGGGAAAAGTCACACAAGTTCAGGAGGCACAGAGAACCCCAAACAAGAAGAACCCAAACAGACCCCCCACCCAGACACATCATAATTAAAATGCCAAAAATTAAAGACAAAGAATCTTAAAGGCAGCAAGAGAAAAGAAAACTGTTACCTACAAAGGAGTTCCCATAAGGCTGACACTTGATTTCTCATCAGAAACTCTACAGGCCAGGAGGGAACATGAAGTACTCAAGGTAATGGAAAGCAAGGATCTGAGACCAAGATTATTATATCCAGCAAGGCTATCATTCAAAATAGACGGTCAAAGAGCTTCCCAGACAAAAAAAGGCTAAAGGAGTTCATCACCACCAAGCCAGCATTACAAGAAATGCTAAAGGGATTGCTGTAAGGGATTGCTGAGAAGAAGAAACAGAGAGAGAACCTAGCCATACAGAATTAAAATGGCTATAAATCAGTACCTCTCAATAATAACCCTAAATGTAAATGGATCAAATGCTCCAATCAAAAGGTGTAGGGTAGCTGAATGGATAAAAAAACATGACCCAACTATATGCTGCCTACAAGAGACCCACCTCAAAACCAAAGGCATACACAGGATGAAAGTGAAGGGATGGGAAAAATTTTTCCATGCAAATGGAAAAGAAAAAGAAAGCTGGAGTAGCAATACTCATATCTGACAAAATAGACTTTAAAAGCATCATGCTAAGCGAAATAAACCAGTCAGAGAAAGATAAATATATGATCTCACTAATTTGTGGAATATAATGAACAACATAAACTGATGAACAAAAATAGAGCCAGAGGGGGGAAAAATATACTAGAAGTAATCCTGTTATTTGCTGATTTTTAATATTTCCTACAACTTTTGTGATATCATACTATGTTAGTACAGTTTTGGTAATATTATTATACTTAAAATCCTTTTATTCTTGAAATATTAATGTTTATTGCATGTAATATTATTATATATAAGATCATTTTCCTTAAATAATTAGTGTTTATTGCATGTAACATTATCATAGTAGAGGCCTGATGCACAAAATTTGTGCAAGAGTAGGCCTTCGTTCCCCTGGCTGCCGGCACTGGCTTCTATCTGGCACCCAGGATCCGGCTTCCCTTGCAGCCCTGGCTTTGTCTGGAAGGTTGTCCAGTGTAATTAGCATATTACGCTTTTATTATTATAGATTTTAAAATAGTTTTTCTTGAGATGTTAATGTTTACTGCATGTAACATTATTATATTTAAGATAGTTTTTCTTGAAATATTAAGGTTTATTGCATGTAGCATTATATTTAAAATTGTTTTTCTTGAAATTAAAAAAAAAACACATAAAAAAAAAGAGTTTGGCTCTTGTGGTTGTAATTCAAGTCCATCTTCATCCACAGCCTTTAATTTTCATCAGTCACAGCTCCTCACACCTACAGCCTTCACCTCCAGGCCAGGCCTCTATGAGAGTCCCCTCAACCACCTCCAGGGTCACTGGGTGACCCTCTCCCAACCCCCAGCCCATTTATGGAGCACACCTCTGCCACCTTCCCAGGGCAGCCAGGCCCCTCCCTGGACCTTACTCCTCAGAGACTGCTGGGCACCGCCCACCATGCCACCATGGAAGGGCAACTGGTGGGCTGCCCCATGGGTCACCCACCAGGCGGACAGGTCACTGCATGAGGCTGGCCTTGGGGCACCTGGAACTCACCAGACTACATGGAGAGATTTTTACATCAAAAAGAATTGCTAGCCCTGACTGGTTTGGCTCAGTGGATAGAGTGTCGGCCTGCGGACTGAGGGGTTCCAGGTTCAATTCCAGTTAAGGGCATGTACCTTGGTTGCGGGCGCATCCCCAGTAGGTGGTGTGCAGGAGGCAGCTGATGGATGTTTCTCTCTCATCTATGTTTCTAACTCTCTATCCCTCTCCCTTCCTCTCTGTAAAAAATCATAAAATATATTTAAAAAAAAAAAGAGAATTGCTAAACGGTGTCAAGATCAGAGTTCCAAGATGAAGGATTTAAAATTTATCCATTGCAACGGTTCCTATAGGGAGAGACTTTTTAAAATCTAAACTGAGTAGCATACAGGACATACATTTGTTCTGGAATTTAGACTACAACTAAAAAGTTAGGTTTTTATTGTCCTTATACATATTGAGACCATAAACAGGTAATTAAGATGTGATACCTAAGTATGAAATGTCTAAGCCCTAAAACTCACATCCGGTTTATTGTTCTACCCAGAGAAACTTTTTTTTTTATTTTTATATTTTATTGATTTTTTTTACAGAGAGGAAGGGAGAGGGATAGAGAGTTAGAAACATCGATGAGAGAGAAACATCAATCAGTTGCCTCCTGCACACCCCCTACTGGGGATGTGCCCGCAACCAAGGTACATGCCCTTGACTGGAATCGAACCTGGGACCTTTCAGTCTGCAGGCCGATGCTCTATCCACTGAGCCAAACCGGTTACGGCAACCCAGAGAAACTTTTAGTAAAAATTGAGAAGTTTTGTACCAACAGCCAACGTCCACTTTTAAATAGTCTCAATTTCACTAATACATAGAATTAAGAGGGATATGCCACTGCTCTCACACAAGAGCACAATGTCCCTGTGTCATAAAAAGGGAACAGGAATAATGTTTAAAACCTGTCTTTAAGAATTAAAAAAAAATAACTTGAAACAACAAATAGTCCATGCATTTCTTTGCAAATTAGTTTTATGTGGGGAGGGGAAAAGTAAGTGAAAAACAATTTATACCTCCTCTGAAATAGTAAACTGTTTGGTTTTTCCAGAAGAATCCACTGGTTCTTGGTTTTCCATGTTCAAACTAGTCAGTCTTTCCAGTTCTTAGGCAAGAGGTTGACACTGCAAGAGAATGAGATATGTTTAGGCTACGTTTATTTTTCTGAATTAAACATCTGTTGATAAGCCACTCGTCAAAGTACTTAAATGGAAAAAACTAATTTATCATCAAAGCTTCTTTTCTCATCCGAGGATCTGGGAGAACTGTCCTAGGTGGAAAAGTAAAGAGGCCCCAGAGTAGGGGTGGGGAACCTTTTTTCTGCCAAGGGCCACTTAGATATTTATACCATCATTCTCGGGCCCTACAACATATCAACTTAAAAATGAGCCTGCTATATTTGGTAAAACATTTAATGATTTTGGGCTGGATGTTCCCCACCCCTACCCTTAGAGCATCCAGGGAAGAACTTAAAGCCATCCCAGTCAGGTCCAGTCCACAGCAGCCAAGTTCCTCTGGGCATGTACTAGGACACCTTAGATAACATTTTTAGATTTTCTGACTTTACATTTAATAGATATTCCAAGGGGACAGTACAAAGATGGTATAGTATTCCCCATGCTACCCCTCAAGTATTGTCCTTTATCAACCCTTTATAGCTAAACATCAAGAGTTGTATGGGCTGTGGTACATCTACACAATGGAATACTATGCTGCTGTAAAAAAGAAGGAATTTTTACCATTTGCAACAGCATGGACGGAACTGGAGAGCATTATGCTAAGTGAAATAATCCAGTCAATGAAAGAAAAATACCACATGATCTCACTCATTTATAGATAATAAAGACCCTTATAAACTGATGAACAAAAATAGATACAGAGGCAGAACAGCATCGAACAGACTGTCAAACTACAGTGGGAAGACCGGAGGGGCGGCGGGGAGGGGGGGAGAAGAGATCAACCAAAGGACTTATATGCATGCATATAAGCATAACCAATGGACACAGACACTAGGGGTTAGGGGAGGCCGGGGGAAGGTCAAGGGGGAAAAAAAAGGAGACATATGTACTACTCTTTGTAATATTTTAAGCAATAAAACAAAATTAAAAAAAAGATTTGTATGGGTTGGCTATTTCTATCTTCTATTTAATTTTTTTTACTTGTGGTAAATGGATATACCATGTTAATAATTTTTAAAATGTACAGTTCAGTGATATTCAATACATTTACATTATTGTGACCCATTCACTTTAAAGTTTTAATGTGCAAAGTTGCAGTTAACTAGGACTACAAGATCTGTGATGAGAAGAGCAGTCCCTTCCCATTTGTTTTTACTACTCTTTCCTCTATCCTGGCTAAATTCCCTCATTTTTTTGTACCCTGAATGTCTGGACATGTTTTTTTCGATATGAGTTGATTGATAATCTGGCTATATATAGAATTACTAGAGGCCCAATGCACGAAAATCATGCAGGGGGGCGGGGGGAGGGTCCCTCAGCCTGGCCTGCACCCTCTCAAAATCTGGGACTGCTGGCTCCTAACCACTTGCCTGCCTGCCTGATTGCCCCTAACCCCTCTGCCTCAGCCCCCGCCCCCACAGCTTCATCAGGAAGGACGTCCAGAAGGTCGTTTGGCTGTCCGGTCTAATTAGCATATTACACTTTTATTATTATACATGCACTGAAAATAATTTTCTAGCAGAAATAGGCAGGTGGTGCTCAGTTGTTTTGCTTCTGGTGTTGCTGTTAGAAAATCTGAAGCCATTCTGATTCCTGATCCTTTTTCTTTGAGACCTGCTTTCTTGCTCTGCAAACTTAGTTATTCATGTCTTCATGTTGATGTTACTGTGTTGGGCACTCAGTTTCAATCTGGAAACTTCAGACGCACATTCTTGATGGGGAACTTTTCTTGAATTATTTCACCAATAACCCCCTACCCCCATCTTCTCTGCTTTCTCAGGAACTGAAATTTAGCTATTGGACTTCCTGAATTCATCCTGTCTTGTCTTTTTCATTCCTATTTTCTGTTTCCTTGTTATTTTATTTACATTTCTCAATGGCACTTCCAACCCTTCACTGCTTTTAAGTTCCATAGTTCCCTACCTACCCCACCTCCCAACTTTAGCTCTAGAGAAAATACAGACATTAAGAATTATTACCTCTCTTACTGTCTTAGAGGAAAAAAACTGGCTTTGCTCTACATTTCTCCTGGGAATTAAAGTAATAATTAAACTACCTATCACATCTTCAATATTTACCTCAGACAGCAAGTTTCCCCCACCCTAAAACACAACCAGCAAAACAGAAACAATCAACCTTCTCATAACCCTGTTTTCTCCTCCAAACTTGTCAGACTTCTTGAAAGAACAGATAAAACTATCTTTACTCTATCTTTACACAATCTATTTCCCTAACTATATCTACCCATCATTCCCAAGCTAGAAATATAAGTATCTTCAATCCCCTATTTTTCTTTACCAACCATAACTTATCCAATGCAAATCCTAAAAATTCTAGCTCTAACATCCCCACCATCACTACTCCCACTTAGGATGAAATAATTTTCAAAACTATCTCCTAGACACTAGATTTTCCTTTACATTGTCCAACTTTCAACACTGCTCACAGCTATGTTGCTATAAAAACTCCCTAAAATCACTGCTGAATAAGTAAAGGAAGGAATAAAATGAATCTGGCTGGATAGTCTAGAGAGTCATTCTGTTCCTAAGAATTAGGTTAGTGTGGGGCCTGCTTAGACTTGTTCAATTATTCCTCATCTACTTGTTTTTATTTGACTAAGTTAGTTAAACTCAACTTCAAAATTATCTTGGCACAAAGTTAAATGACTCACACTGCCTGTTTTCAAAACTTACTGTAAAAGTAATCAAGATGGTATGGGTACTACCATAATGCTAGACATATATATTGATGGAATAGAACCTGGGAGTCCAGGTTTATGCTCTTTTGATTATCAACAAGAATGCCAAGACAATTCAGTGGGGGAAAGAATAGTCTTTACAACAAATTGTTCTGGGACTAGAAATGCACATAAGAATGAAAATGAGCCTCTATGTATACCATATAGAAAAATTAACTCAAAATGGGCCAAAGACCTAAATCTAAGAGCTAAAACTATAGAACTCTTAAAAGAAAATATAAGTGTAAATCTTCATAATCTTGGATTAGGCAGTGGTCTCTTAGATATGACACCTAAAGCCCAAAGCAACCAAAGAAAAGAGATAAATTGGGACTTCATCAAAATTAAAAATTTTTGTGCTTTGAAAGATACTATCAACATAGTAAAAAGATAATCCACAGAACTCTGATAGGAGACTGTATCTGAAATATGTAAAAAACTTTTATAACAATATTTTAAAGACAACCTAATTGAAAACAGGCAAAGGATCTGAATATACATTTCTCCAAAGAAAACCTACAAATGGCCAATAAGCACATGAAAATATGTTAAAAATCGGTGGCCATCAAGGAAAGGCAAATCAAAACTACAATGAGATAACACTTCACCCCCCACTACAATGATTATTATAAAAGACAGATAATAACAAGTGTTAGTGAGAATATGGAGAAGCCAGTACCCTCATACATACACTGCTGGTAGGGATGTAAAATGGTGCAGGCACTCAGAAAAACAGCCTGAGTTCTTCAAAAGTTTAACCAGAGTTCCCACATGACCAAGTAATTTCACTCCTAGGTATATAACCAAGAAAAATGAAACATGCTCACACAAAAACTTATACAGAAATGTTCATGAAAGTATTATTCCTAATAGCCCCAAAGTGGAAATAACTAAATGTCTTATCAATTAATGAATGGGTAAATAAAGTATGGTGTTCCTTACAATGGAATATTATTCAGCCATAAAAAGGAATAAAGTTATCACACATGCTACAACATGGATGAACCTTGAAAACATCTATGCTAAGTGAAAGAAGGCAGACACAAAAGGCCAAATATTGTGATTCTATTTACATGAAATATCCAGAATAGGCAAATCCATAGAGACAGAAGGCAGATTAGTGATTGCCAAGGGACTGGGGGAAGGAAGGAGGGAATAGGGAGTGACTGCCTATGGGTATCGTGTTCCTTTTGGATGAAAATGTTCTGGAATTAAATATGGTGATAGTGGCACAATCTTGTTAATATACTAAAAACCACTGAATTTTAGTTTAAGGTGAATTTTATGGTGTGTGAACTACATCTCAATTAACACTCACTAACTTTGCATTCTTAAAATATCTAACAGGCAAATGTTCAGGATAGCTGGGTTGCTGAAGGTCACACTGGGTCCAAAGATTGACAAAGCTAGCACGCTAGTCAAGGAATTCTGCCTTGAACTCAGCAGGCTAGTGAAGCAAGGCATTGCTGTACCAAGCAACCACTTTACTCTCCTCTGGGTGTATATTTTGCCTGATGTGCAACATGTATTTCTGTTGTAAAATCAAATGTATTTCTGCTGTATTAAAATGTTATCAACATTGTTGCTTGCCAGTTATGGGTAAACCTAGAAATTCAATTTTTAATAAGGACTTTGGCAAAGAAGCAAATTTTGAGGCCTTAGGTAAGAAAAGATGACTATATGCTAAATAAAAACCACTTAATGATGAGAGAAAGATATGTCTATACATCTTCACACTCATTTAAATTGTGAAGAAGTATGCACAACTAATTAATATTCATAACCAATTGAATATCTTAGGCAACTTGGCTAAAGCAGCTTGTGGCAGAGCCACTGAAAGTGAGAGAACATCCTTAGTGTTAGGAATACAGTGGTGGACAGAGCAAAGGCCCTGCCCTGCAGGAGTTTACCTTCTGGTGGGGAGAAAAAGTGAGGAACAATATACATAATTTCTGTCGGGTGACTAAGTTTTATAGAGAAAGATTAAGAAAGAAAAGGAGAGTGAAAAAGATGGCGGGGGGGAGGGGGGTTTGCTAATGTATAGAGCAGTGGTTCTTAACCTTCCTAATGCTGCGACCCTTTAATACAGTTCCTCATGTTGTGGTGACCCCCAACCATAAAATTATTTTCGTTGCTACTTCATAACTATAATTTTGCTACTGTTATGAATTGTAATGTAAATATCTGATATGCAGGATGTATTTTCATT